CTACTCATCTTACAGCAACAGGGTGGTCTATGAACAGATTAGATCTGCAGGAACAGCCTAGAGGGGCTCTCCCTGCCTAACCTTAGCAAGTACCACCCCCTACCCAAATGGGCAGAGAAATTAAAAGAAATCTCTTGTATTAATGACACCTATGGTTCCCATTTCAGACATGCTGTTTGTTCCTAAGGCACCTTGTGATAAATCCTCTGTAGAGTGGCTTTAATAGGGGTAGTGAGACAAGAAGGAAGAGTATAAGCAGTGGGAATGAAAGTGAACTCGGTTAGGGATTCATTCTCTCCCCTAATTCCCCACAAGAACAAAATCTTTCAGCAGCTGGACCTGTAATAAGGTTTACCTCAAATTCACCTCACCAGGTCCAGCTCCACAATAACTGACCCAGTGCAGGCCTTAGCTGGAGGTTACACACACACACAGGCACAAGGAGATAAGCTGTCAGGGTAGAGCCACAAAGAAAGGCATGTGGCTGCCTTCTAGACTCAGTGCATAGTAACTTGACTTTCCTAGCCCTGAAGTCAGGGAACTAAGCTCTTCCTCTTAACACATTTTCATCTTACTTGTTTGTGCATATGAAATGGGTCCCAAGCATTAATTTGCTGCAAGCCTGTGTCTGACACCAGTAACCTCTCCTGAGAACATGTATTACAGGCCTCCAAAGGGTCTGAGTAAATGTAAGCAGTACCAGTAGTGGTCCTTGATTTAAGCAATTTTAACTCTCTGAACTCCTGCAGCTACATTACACCTAAAGCAAAAAAGAGGAAAAACAATGGAGAGCTTATTACCTTTTCTGACATAAAAAATGTCCAACAGATTAGTACCATTTTTATAACTCAACACTTATCCAAGGTAATTTTTATACAAGTCCTTTGCTACAGGATATATCTCTGACTGAACATGTAAATTTTATTTAGATCTAAATTATATTCAAAACAAAATGGGAAACAATTTTGTGCTTTCACAGAAGCAAACCCAAAATGCAAAAGAAACTTCTTCCTTAATTTAGCTTTATGAATTTCTAAAGACAATTTAGAGGGAAAGGAAACATATATTAAAAACCTGTTTGAAGTCTTCCTTCTACAGAAATAAAAAATTTTGCTTTCCTGAGGATTAATTTCTCTCTCTGAAGTGCAACTGCATTTAAACTTTATTTTAATTTCTTGACCCAAGGTATAATTCCAAAGATCTCTATTTAAATAAGAAGGTTTTCCATAATTGCCTAAGCCAGCTAGCAAGATTGAATACAAATCCAGGAAATATACCAAACTGAAAAAATTACACATGCAAAATAAGATTATTTCTTTGAAACAACTTTGGGTTTGATATTGAACAGGAATGGCTGCTGTTAATCACTAGCCACACAGCCAGTAATTTGGATTTAACAGAAAATTATAAAAACTGTGTATCCTTCCAAAAAGAAGTCGTCACTTCGATAATGAATGTTAGTTGAATACCTGAGAAACAACATACTTGTATAATGTGGAAATATAAAAAAACAAACAGAAAGAGGAATTATCCTGTACAACTGTGAAGCTTTCCTGAAGATTAAATATTCCTAAAACTATCTTGTGTTCATAAAAGATACCAGATACTTCTGGGAAACTTAAGCAGTGAAACACACACACCAAATACTTTCAGTTCCGCTGCAGCAGGCCTGTCTGTGAGCAGGCTGCATTTGCAGGCTGGGCACATACTCATTGGGATGACATTCCACATTCTATGCTGCTTTTGGGCTTAAGTCAATGAGACCAGGTAGATGGGCACAGTTCCAAAAGAGTGACCCAAGCCTTATTAAAGATTGGTCCACACTTCAGAAAGCAAGAACTGAACAATAGGTTTGCCATCTACAGTGCAATTTATCTTAACAAAAACCTTAACTAATGGCTGGAAAACTGGGACATACTACCTGTATGTCAGCAAGTGATCAAAACTGGTTGTAAGGCAGGTTTTGTGATCAAAACCACAGTATAGTTTTAAATGGAGATGACCCACTAGCCTGCAACAAGCTGTGCAGCTGAGGATCAATAATTCTGGAATATCTCATGTGCATACTGGTCAGAGTTCCCTTCAACATAAATAAATCCTAATTAGAAAGTGGAGTAGGTGCCGAATAGTACATCTTATGTTAACCACACACACACACAGGGTTCTCCAGATCGCAGCCAAGGACCAACAGCAATCATTGAGTGGGGCAGTGCTGACATTGTGGTCAGACTGAAGGGTCTATTCCATCTTCTCTTTAGTGCCTCGGGTGACAGTGTGCTCTCCCCTCCCACTTCTGCTTGAGCAATAGCCAGCCACCAGTGGTGGGAGGGAGGACTGTATCTGGCTTAAGTTGGACTCTGAGAAGACAGATAAGAACACAATAGTTAAGGGCCATAAGTCTTGCTCAACAGCTTAGGGTCAGTTGGGCACAAGGAAACCGAAAATACAGCCTGAATGGAAAAATGACTGTAAGTCAATCATCTTACGCTAAATAGTGGACAGAGGCTGTTACCCTCTCCTGCATGGCAGTACGCTGTGCCCCAGGAACTCCACTCAACTAGGGATGCCTCTTAGGGTTAACTTCTTGAGGCTGAGAGATTCCTTGCTTAGGAATTCTCACAAAGTGCTTAAGAGCATACAAAACTTTGAAATCTCAGCTAAGTGAGATACAGGATTGACAGTGCACATAATCCCTTAGATGTAAACTGCTGGCCAAGTCTGGGACTAAGGCTGGATCCAGACACACCTAAATTCCCTTCAGGAAAGGAGTTTAAAAAATAAGGGGGTCCTTTCTGAACCTCATGACTCAGCAGAGGGTCTCCCTGACAGTTTTGTCTGACCCTGTCATCTATGCAGTATACCTTGCCATCATGTCTTGTTAAATTACTGTCACATTTACTCATAAAATCATAGAATGGTTTGGATTGGAAGAGGACCTTGAATATCATCGAGTTCCAACTGCTTTCCCATGGGCAGGGACACCTGCAACTAGACCAGGTTGCAACTAGACCAGGTTGCTGTACCTGCAGGGCTGTGTGGCAGACAGGTTACACATGCTGGGGTGCTGTACCCGTGCTGCTGTGTGTGCAGATGAGTTACACAGCACTGACCTGAGTGGAGGGTGGGAGCAGCCTTTAGAACACAGGGAGAGCTGGGCATGCTGTGCTGCTGCCTGCGGTGCCTCGTGAGCCCAGGCGCACAGCGCTCCGTACAGGTGTACTGCGGGGCCGCGTGTCGCAGCCAAGGCACGAGCATTTCTGCTGTTCCTGGCACAGCCCTGCTTTACAGGCCTCGTCTGTCCAAGCATTTTGTACCATGTGTGTGCGAGCTGACTGACATGACCGATGCCTGCCAGCTGAATGATGCCTCATTAATCTTTTTGTCACATTTTTAATCAGTAATTTTCATTATTCACAAACCAATACTTTAAAAAGGGTGGGGGAGTAAAATCCCCAAACATATTTGCTTGTGATTTGCTTTTTTAACTCAACTCTCCTTTAAACCACAAGCTGTTATAAAAGGATACTGTCAACTGCAGAATGTGATGAGTAACTAAGGTGGCCTGAGCTGCAGAAGTGTCTTCATAATACTCAACTGCTACTGCTGGATTTGGTTATCAGCTTTTTAAGGAATAACTTTACTGTATGGGTATGAGTAGTTGTCCAAAATATAATGAAACTGTTACTGTGTTTAGAGTGTTTCTAGAGGTTTCAATAATTCAGATTTTATTAACAATGACAGTTTCAATAAACTTTTAATGAAATGTTCATTTCTTATAAAAGAGCCTATGAAAAAAAAATCTCATTTCTTAAAACCAGTTATTTAAACACTTTTCTGAGTCTAAAGGCCTGAAGAGCCTGGCGATTTTTGAGAATTTCTAAAATTTCTGTCTGAATGTGAATTATTGTGTGTATCAGATGGATATATGAATTATACTGTGTATCAGATGGATAGACCATAATCTGTAAGGATACAGGCCCTTTTCCCTCTATCTCGTAAGACCCACTGAAGCTGGAAAAGAAGTATAGTCCCATCTCCTGACAATTTGGGACAGTTAATTCCAGCACTGAACTTATTTTCAGAGACTGGCTTGTGTTGTTAAAGCATTTACTAAATAAACTTGCCATTTCCCTCTTGTTGGTATCTTTTACTTCCTACATCATCTGTTTGAAGAAAATTATTAATCTAATCCTCTACTGTAAGTTTCTACCTGATGCAGTCTTTTAGGTAATGGATCTAACTGAAATTCCATAAACTTGGAATTTGGACAATTTGGAGTTCATAGATTGACTTAAAGCTTGTACCCACTTTTACAAAAACACTTCCCTGACAAGCATTGAGTGATGAACAAACGTATTTTTTTTTAAATTAACAACGTAAAAAATAACGTAAAAAAAAGAAACAATCTAGTGAAACCTCTAAGGAAAATGTAATTCCTATTTTTTATTTTCTTCAACAGTCCTGCAGAACTTCACCACTGAGTTTCAAATCACCAAGTTTTCCCAGAAGCTGCAGAACAGCCTGAAGAACCCTGGCATTGACCACACATGCATGTGGCTGATCTTATTACTCTGAGACATGACCAACTTCTGTATTTTATGTGCAACTTCTGGCACTGGCCCATAGTGTTTTCTGTGTGATCATAAATAGTTTTAAGGTGTTTTCCAGTGACTTGGTACAAAAGGTTCATAGAATCATAGAATATGTTGAGTTGGAAGAGGCTCATCACGATAATTTAGTCCAGCTCCTGTCTCAGGACACCCCAACAATCAGAACATGTGCCTGAGAGTGTTGTCCAAACACTCCTTGAACTCTGTCAGGCTTGGTGCTGTGACCACTTCCCTGGGGAGCCTGTTCCGGTGCTCAACCACCATCTGGGTGAAAGATTTTTTCCTTATATCCAACCTAAACCTCCCCTGACTCAGCTTCATGCCATTTCCTTGAGTCCTGTCACTGGTCACAAGATTGAAGAGATCAGTGCCTGCCCCTCATGAGGAAGCTGTAACTGCAGGGAGGTCTCCCCTCAATCTCCTCTTCTCCAGCCTGAACAGACCAAGTGACCTCAGCCACTCCTCCTATGGCTTCCCCTCCAGACCCTTCACCATCCTTGTGGCCCTCCTTTGGATGGTCTTTAATGGCTTAATGCCTTTTTTACAATGGGGTGCTAAAAACTGCCCCCAGCACTCGAGGTGAGGCTGGCCCAGTGCAGAGCAGAGCAGGACAATCCCCTCCCTTGCCTGGCTGGCCATGCTGTGCCTGATGCCCCCCAGGACAGGGCTGGCCCTGCTGGCTGCCAGGGCACTGCTGGCTCAGATTCAACTCGCCATCAACCAGGACCCCTGGTCCCTTTCTGCAGTGCTGCTCTCCAGCTTCTCATGCCCCAGTCTATACAAAACACACCAACTATGAAATGTTGTTAAATTGATGTTTTGTATTAGCAAACATATTACTACTTCTCTGTTAGAAGTGAAGTGTGTCAACTCCATCAGCAATATCTAGGAACTTGATAGACAAAGGATGAAAAAAAATCTTATCTAAATTGCTCATGCCTGATTCAAGTGCTGTAGAAAGGCCACAGGATGGTTCTTCATTTCATCCATGGGAGGTTAAATGAAGGAATAGCCCTCTCCAAGCTGCTACCTGAAAGAGCATCTTGCTCTGATAGATACCAAGCCCTACTGTTCTGTCTCCCTGTGCTTGACCTGCTTGAATAAAGCAGCTTTGCAGTTCCCCCCACCATGGAGAACACACTCTCTTTTGAGAAAGGTGGCTGTTTTCTCCCCTTCTCAGGGCCCAAAGCAGCAATAACTCTGCTCCTTGCCCACTCCCTCAGAAAGTCACTGTGTTCCAAGCAGTGCTCCTCCAATTTCCACTCCTCCTGCTCAAAGCTTGGGCTGCTCTATTGTGAACTGACTGCTTCCTCTCTTACCATTTTGACCTGCTAAGTGCTCTGGAGCAGTGAATCAGTAAGCAGAGATACTTAAAAGTAAGCTTGAATGTAGAGCAAATTGTACAGCATTACAATATACCCTTAATAGGAAATAGGCAGCCCTCATACGAGAGCAAAATCTTTGGCTTTAACTACCCCAAATAATTCTGTCCATCATTTCCTCTCAATAGAAGGAATGGACCAAGTAGAGGTGCTTTACCCGGACAATTAAAAAATAAAACTCAGAACTTTTCTAGTATCCCTATGGAAACTCATTTTGTGTCTCTGCAAAGAGGTATCAAAATGTAAATACAGCAGTATTCTTAGAAAAGAGAATGATTTCAAGTTAAAAGTATTAAAATAAACAACAGTTACAAATAAACACGTTTTAAAATTCATCTCTGATGGATTAACTTCTCCTTGTTCAACTCAGCCACTACTTAAGGAGAAGGTGATAATTAATACCATCACTAGTCACCAAAACATGCCAAGGAACTTCCTAACAATACCTTTGCAACACCAATAGCAGCTGACAAACTGCATTTCTCTGGGAGCCTTTTCCTTGCTACATATGGTTGCAATACCAGTGAACCAACATCCTGCTACTAAGAAATATTTCCTGTATATTTATTGGTTGTATTCCAACCATTTTGTATTCATTTAGCAGGCAGTAAGTAACCTCCTCTGCTTCACATCTGGATTAAGAAAAAACTTCTGGTAATCACTGAGGTTTTAATCATCTACATATGCCTACAATCAACAGATATAACATTCAATTCTTAAACTGTAGAAAAGCTTTCCTATGGACTATGAGGTGTGCACCCTGCTCCCACCCCCTGTTCAAACATGAGCTGTGACTGCTATTTGGGGCCCACCTGTTGTAGCATTGCCAAGCCACTGCAGCACGGGCTGCTGCTGGCCAGCTGCACTCCCAGCCACTCTCATGAGGGAAGGAAGCACTGGCTGCTGGTGACTGTAGCGATGGTAGGTGATGGGGTTGCCCTGGCTAAGTGACAAGCCAGCTGTGCTTCTGGCTCACTGAAGCTAACAGCTGCCCTCTAGTGATGCAGATGCAGCAGGAGAGTTGGAAAAGTTATTCACAAAACAGTAACATTATTTTCACTTCATTTTGTACCAGCACAACAGATCAGAACCACAACCACCTGAACGTGGCTTCTGGGCAATTGCCAGCTGTGACTTGAAGGCCCAGCCCAATGCCTGCACGGAGCAGACCTCCCAAAGTTTTAGAGAAAGAGCAGCTGCCTGGGAACAACCAGGCAGTCACAACTACCTTTCTCCCCTGTGACAGTGGGGAAGAAGGGTGTGGGGGGAAACCAGTTCACGTCCAAAGGAGAGCTGGCAGAATTGCACCGTGGTTCTGTCACACAGCAGCGCCCGTCAGGCAGTACCAGGGCTGGGTGGCAGCCTGCTACACTCACCATCCCCTGCCTGCCATCCTTGCCCCTTCCCTCTTCTTCAGCTAGTGTAGTAGACGTGAAAGAACAGGGTCTTATTGCGGAGCAGAGAGTAGGAGTTATCAAACTTCAGCAGGTAGATGCCCTCGCCCGGGTACTCGTGGCTGCCTGCCTGCACCTCGCGATGGCTGTTCCTGCGGTACACAGGCATGACCTCTCCATAGCGGTTCCGCAGACAGCTTTTGGAACCCCGCTCCACATCGCCTACAGGGGACAGTCCTGAATGGGAGACAGGAGACAAGGAAGTAGCCAGAACCACTGCATGATCCAGAAAAACAACAACAAGACCAGAACGCGGCACAGACAAGCAGCTATATGGAAGGCTAACAGTGATAGCATTACCCTGAGCATCTCCTCAACTAATTATGCAAATAATTCCCACAAAGTCCAGCCTTCCTTGTCAAAAAGAGGTCATACCAAGCTTTCTTGGGAATACTGATGGGACAGTATTTATTAGCCCACCAGCCCAGTCTCCTCTCTTTTTTAGCTTAGACACCTCACTGCTTTTATACACACAACAGCAGTCCTGTGATATAGACTTGAAGCAAAGAGAGGCAGGAAAGCTCTTAGCTGTTACCTCATAGTGTCTATATCCTCAATTCACTTCTCCAAGAGGATTCCTCATAAAGGAACCTACCCCTGCTTACAGGGCCTGCAAAATTCAGACACAAACCTCCCAGCTACACTGGTCACACATACACTGAAGCCACAGAACAGGCAACATTACTGTGTGTTTCCTGAGTAGAGTGACACAGGTAGCAAACATTTCAAATATGGTCAGAAGGAGCTACTGTTATACTGGGGAAAAAAGAAAATGAAAAAACCAAAAAAACAAGAAATCCCCCCCAAAGAACAACAACAAAAAACATCAACCCCCCCAAAAAACAGCAAAAACCAAAACCAAACAAAAAACTAAACACCAACCAACCAAAAAAAACAAAACAAAACAAAAAAACCAACAAACAAAAACCCAAAAAAACCAAACCCCAAAAGAAAATTTTCTTTCCTCCACTTACCACCAGAAATTTCTCAGTCTGAGAATCTAACAAAAACAGTCAGGTTAAAATTTCAGACTTTAACCTTTTTATCATGTAGAAGTTGACTGAGTGAATTCTGATTTTATTTTTCCATGTGTTCAATTTCAAGAATGCTCTTGGAGAAGACAGCCATATGCTGAAGCAGGAAGGGCCAAATGCTTTCTTGTCACTCTAACCAAGAACCCAATAGGCTGCAGAGATAGCAAATGGGCTGACTAAACAAAGCAGATGGAAATTGTAGCATCTGACAGATATGCTCAGCAGCATGGCAACAAGCAACCCAAATGAACCTTTATAAGATCTGCACTAACCTTCAATTTCCTCATCCTCCTCTTCGTCCTCCTCATCACTGGATTCACTGACCTGAACAGTAATGGCAGTACTAGTAACTGTGGTCCAGTCAAAATAGACTCCAAACCCAATGTCGTAGTCATCCGTAGCAAACTCCCAGCAAATGCATTTCCCGTCAGGATGGGTTGGCACACGGACTGTCACCACCTCGCCTCGCTTCACCACCATCCGGCCATTCTTCTCCTTTCCCATCTTGGCTTTGAATTCCTTCATCTTCTCAGTGGTCCACATGGTGGGTGCAGCCAGCGGTGGAGGCTGAGCTGAGACAAGGGAAAAGTTCACAGGCTTCCATGACTTTTCACTACTGACAAACTATTACCTGAAAACAGTGAAGCTATTTCTGGTAAGGGGCCCGCGTTCTGGGGCCTGCTCCCAAAAGCCCTAGATGCAAAGTTTTTCCACTCACTAGCCAGAAGCCCAAATTTCCAGCAGGAACTCCAGGACAGTCTCTGCTCTTCTAGCCAGGGTAGGCACTCAAAAAATCACCCAAACAAGAGTTCTGCCTTCAGGACTCACCTTTTCTCTGCTCCCCAAGGAGGTCTGCAGTCTCCAGCTCAGCCGAAAGGATATCCACAGCACCAGTGTGATCTGACTGAATCATGACTATATCCCCCACTCCCTGAGGTACATGGTAGTTGGTTAATCGAACAGCTTCCTGCACAAAGCACATAAGAAACATTGTCACAAAGACCACCCTGGTTAAAAAGTCTCTGCCTAGGTTTGAAACAACTCAGTAGTAACTCTGGCATCTTTATGAAACCAAGTCAGACCTGCAGAAGCTTCTACTATTAGTGTAGGCTAGCTCTGAGACACCTCTCAACATTTGTTTCCCCCACTGCACCAAAGTAATCAACTTTGAAGTCAAATGCTGCACCAGTGTCACAAATTTCACTCCCCTTGGTCTCCCAGGGAGTCTTGGGCAGCCACTTTTTGCACTTGCATCAGAGTTAATTGTTACCCCTCAACAAAGCAGCAGCCTTATAGATTTAGCTGACTATTCTTGGAAAAAATTCACAACAGTCAATCTCTCTAGGGAGAGCCTTTCAGCTCTGTGTGCATCTAGACTACAGCCACAATCAAACTGCCATTGCTGCATCCTAGTTAGAAGGCCATCTGGTTCACTCTCTTCTCATATATGAAAACTTGCAGGTCCTGAACTCGGTGTCACTTGCACAGGTTTCCCTGACTCTATCTGTAGGGCACACAAATTTGCTGTTCACAAGAAGAAACAAGGGATTTCAGTTCCCTCTTCCATAAATCCACAAGAATGGAATTTCCAGAAGCACCAGATAAGAGGAGAAGGTGACAATTACCTTGAAGCCTCAGTGAGCAAGGAAGCAAGGACTAGCTGAAGACACAAGAGGGATTTTCCAAATTAGACTGATACCATTTATCTCCCACTAATGTACAGGAAAAAAATGTAACTGAATCTATGTTAATACAACTTTTATCTTAACACAACCCTTCGAGCCTCAGTCCCACAGTGGCAAGCATGGTAGTGGAGTGGGAGAACTGTTGCTGCACTTCTGTCTTCATTCTCAGACATAAGAAACATCCATCTACCTTTTTGAGAGATTGGATTTGGTCAGGCAGCTTCTCTTCTTGTTCAGCCACTTTCTGGTCCCCCAGAGTGCCAATTTCTGCCTTCGAATGCTCTGTTGTGTCTGCACTCAGGCACGCCCCAGCCTGTAACCTTTTGGAGGAAGAGAGCAGTCAATTTAGCACTTGCACCCAGGGCACAGCCAGCAGAGGAATCACTGCTCTGGAACTCAAATTCAAATGAGCTGAAGGAACAAGCTTCTGTGGTCAGCACCTGCCAACTGGACAAAGAATCCCTGCCCACCATCTCTGCATGACTGCTTTCCGTGTGAGCCAGGGGGAGCAACTTCCAAGGGATACTCCATATTTACCATCCTTTAGAGGGCAGAAATTCACAGCACTCACCCCATGCTGGCTCACCAACACTATACTAAGGACAGACATCAGTAGCAACTTTTCTGCCCAAGAAAGGACAATTTTTTTGCCAGCTACTGCATGGCATCTGCATACTGCCTCAGAGATCAGCTGGATCGGTGAAAGAATTCAGAACAATTTTGACAGTCATCCTGAGAATGCCATCTATTTAACTGGCCTGTTATGCCTTTCCTACTAGCAATCCCAACAGATACAAGGAGCACCCAAGTGTCTGTCTGCCATGTCCAAGTACACCCCACAGATAAGCAAGCAGTAAGACATACAATGGGCAGCACAATAACTTAAGCAAAGAGGTCTGAGTACTGCACTGTAACAAAAGAAAATGGACATGCTAAAACAAGAATGGTATATAGCAGGAAAAGCAGGAAAAGAATGGGCAAGAAAGGAAACATTGCTGGAGGGTTTTCTTCTAAATTATATTTTTTTAATTGCTGCATGTTGTCTATAGGTAGACTTATAGTCCCAAATGAACTCAGATGCCAGAAGAGTGTCCTGACACATTCTGCATCTACAGAGAAGACTTGAACAGGGCAAATGTGGCTTTTGTTTTCAAATTGTTACTCCTATGGCACTACAGAATTTATCCAGAAACAAAGCCATTTTTTACTTATATTCTCTCAACAGTGTGATTTCCTTTTGTAGAATTGGCACAATAGACCAGAAGGTCTGTAAGAACAACTCAAACAAGATGGACAGCAAGTTCAAACAAAATGGCAGCAGATGGATGAGATAAGAAGGATATTTGGTGGGAACAATTTTTTAAAGGAAGAATTCTTGGAGTTCTATGCTATCATTTTCCAGCCTGTTTGCATTTCAGTTTAGCAGTTGTATGAACACACCTAGATGGTCTATTTGGTCATTTGCTACCACAGGTACACACATCTGCTCAAAAAGCTCTCCATCAACACAGGAGCTTACAGGCTGGGAATTTTTTCCTCTAGATACCACTGATACCTAAGAGTCTCACTGAAAGATCAGGAAGAGCTACACAAGCTTTACAGGCAGACTTACAAAGACACAGTTCAGCTGATTCCTTCTCACACAAACCTTTTGGACCAGCTCCATCCCTTTCAAAGAAGATCAAAATTAAGACAAATGTAATAGATAATGTCCACAAGTATCTATCATCTACTTTGGCTATTTTGCTCACAGTCTGTATTAATCTCTTTAAAGAAAATTTGAGGATATAATAAAAAGATGCAAGAACTTATTTCTAGTCAGGAAGTCTGATAGAGAAGTCAGCAGCATCAAACCAAGATGGCATCAAACTGCTGTTTTGGTAAAAAGGGTAGTTTGATGTGGGTTCTTTTTTTCCTGGATTTTTGCATTTTTTTGATGAAGCTGTGGTTTACCTACTGTAATTAACTCACACATTTCTGAAACTGTATCCTGTGCAACAAATGTATAATGGCAAATGAAACTGCACTGCACAGTGTTAATGCTTGTAGCCAATTAAATTACTTGACCACAAACACCACATGCCCAGCTGGTACCAACAAGCCAAACATCTGATAACAGGGTTGATCAGCGGGATTAATGGAGAGACACAGAAAACAAACAAAGAAAAAAGCCAAAATGTTGTCAAGAAAATAGTAAAAGGTATTTTCTTGTACAGCTTCCACCAGATTTACAGACAGTAGGCATGCTCAATTATTAAAGTATTTTCCAGATAGAATATAGAAAATTTTCCCCTGAAAAGGTACTAGCTCTTATAATGGATTATAAAACCACACAGGGTTCCTTTCAAGCTGAATGACTCTATGATTTGAATAGCTGAGCCATGAACTACATTTCACGAGCTTTAAAACACCTTAAAGCCTGTAAGAACAGGCCCTCCCATACTGATTCTGGTATATACTGTCCCAAAGCAGACAATTCAGTCTCCAGTCCCTTCTTTTAACCTGCGTAGAACAAATTGCCATACAGAAGAGGTCACAGGAGAGAAACACTGTCATGCATGTGGGCCACAACACACAAAAAGGTTTTCCTACCCGCTCTGTGAAGTACTGGATTCCAAAGAATCAACTAGCTGATCTGCAGGCTCTGTCTTTTGGGCTGAGTCTTCATTTTCTAACAACAAACAGAATATAGGAAGAAAAGGTGAAACAAATGTTGGTGTTTATAATACACTGGCAGGAAAAAAAAACCAAACCTGCAGCCAGCACTCAGACAGCGACAAGGTCACACAGCTGTGGAACAAAGACCTGTGCCAACCAGTTTTTCGTGTTATGAGCTGTATCTAAAACCTTGTGGAGCAAGGATTTTTAATGACCTCAACCCTAGGAAAGGGAAAACAAAAATCTTGGCATGTTTTTGGTGTGAAGCCATTCTCAGAAGCAGGGTTCATTCAGGAACTACTAATCCTAGCTTTGCTTTAGAAGGACAGAACAAGGCTAAATTTCATCATGTAAAGCTGAGCTGACAAAGCCCTGGAAAAAGCAATCGTGCAGCAGTTCGCAAAGGGCACTGACGAGATGGAAGTGCCTAGGTCAGGGCTAAAAGGACCGTCTGTAAAGACGGCTCCTGGTCTTGCCCGGGTCTCCCGAACTCCGGGAAAGCCCTGTCCCCATGCGGGTGCGGTACGAGCTCCCCAGCCCTGCTCTCCGCTCGCGTCAAGGCGGTGAACAGGGCACGGACGAGTTCCAGCTTCGGCGGGCTGCCGATGCCCCTCGGAGCCGCTGGCCATTCCCAAGAGTCAGGGCGGGGAGCAGAGCTCCGGCCCAGGGGCACGCAGCGCCGGGCACGGTCCAGCTCCCGGCTGGACGGGCCCTCTGTCGCCGGGGAAAGCACAAACTCCATCAATCCTCGCTCTTCCCGCCGCACCGGGAGGAACTCTTGCTGCAGCTGCAGGCGCCCGAGCGGCAGGTGAGCAGGTGAGCCGCGCCGAGAGCGCAGCCCGGCCCTGTCGCTGAGCCCGGCACCGCGGCGGCACCGGGACCGCGCTGCCGCCGCAGGGAGCGCCTCCCGCCAGCGCGGCTCCTCGGGCACAAACGGGCAAACCCACCACGTAAAGGGAACTCTCCCCGTAAGGCCAGCGCTCAAGCCGCGCCGCCGGGCTGCCCCTGCCCTGCCCTGCCCGTACCTGCGGGGCCCCGGGGCGCGGTGTCGCCGCCCGGGAGCTCGGAGCGGCAGCCGGCGGCGGCGGAGAGCGCGTCCGACATGGGCACGGTTCGGCGGGCGGCCGGAAACACCCGAGCGTGGCCGGAGAGGGGCGGCCGGAAACACCCGAGCGCGGGAGACGGAAACACCCGAGCGAGTGCGTGCGAGCCGGGCCGCAGGGAGATGGTGGCGCCTCGGTGCTCATCCCTCAGCCTCCCCTCTCGCCAACGCAGCCAATCAACATCTAGTTCTGCAGAGCCGCGGGGCGCGGGCGGCGGTGCGGGAGGACGGCGGGGAGGGAGTGGCGGAAGGGGGAAGGGGCGAGCCTCCAGGAAGTGGTGGTTGCCACGGTAACAGGTCCCGGAAAGACGCGTTGCCGCGGTGGCCGGGGACGGAGGCGATGGAGCCGCGCCTGGGTCCCGCCGGGACCGGAGTGGCTGAAGGGCCGCAGCCTGAGCCCGAGGGCGCGGGGGGACCGCGGTCCGTCTGCCCCTTCCTGACCTGGAGCGCCGAGGAAGTGGCTGAGTGGGTGGCGCAGCTCGGCTTCCCCCAGTACGAGGTGCGGGGCTGCCGGCCCGGACGGGAAGCCCCCGCCCGCGGCGGCCCTGAGCTCGGTGTGTGTGTGAGCGTGAGAGCGGCAGGGGGGCGGCAGGGCACAGGGCGATCCGCCTTTCCCTGCGCTTCCCTGCCCAGGAATGCTTCAGGACCAACGGCATCAGCGGCCGCCGCCTCATCCACGCGAACTGCTCCAACCTGCCCGCCATGGGCGTCACGGACTTCGGCCACATGCAGGTGCCAAAGGCCACTCGATTTTATTGCCTTCTTTTACGCTTTGCTGGGCACAAACAGGAGCTCTGTCTCTTCCTCGTTTTATGAACATGTAATTGGTCTTTTTCCTTTCAAAGCTACATATTTTCTTCAACAAATGCTGATAGTTAAGGCCGAATTTTGGGGCTACAGTCTGGCCTTCCAAAGCTTCCTAAAAGTTCAGAAAATCAACAAATTGACTTCAATTTCATTACCCTCTTTCCCTCCCCTAGTGGAAACCACAGAGGGACTGCATTTACAGAGCCAATTAATCTGTTTTGCATCACAATTTTAAGTTGCTTTCACCAGAAGGCTCAGGTAGAAGTTCAAACCAAGAAGAAAGAAGAAGCTCTATGCTGCAGTGACTAGACACTGTTTATTTTATTCTACAATACCAAAATGCCATTTCACCACAGTTCTGTCTGGCTGCACAATCTTAACGGTTTGTTTGAAACTAAATCTGCCACCAACACCATTAACTAGTGCCATGACTTTTCCTGTTGTTTTGACAGAAAGGCATCAGTTTAACACTAAGTTTTTCAGACAGCAAACCTTCACAAATATTTCTGGTACAAGCAGATAGAGACTATAGTCCTTTGTGCTTTCAAAAAGTGGAACAATTGTATATGCTTTTTAAGCCTCACTCTCGTAGTGGAATATAGGGATTATGTATGGTGTTAGTCCAGCTGCTGAGTAATTGTAGGCCATGGGTTAGATATATCAGCTGTGACCCATTCTTCCTCTTGTAGGAACTGAAATTCCTCTAGATAAGCAATAAACAGCCGGGACACTGCCCCAAGCTTGGAAGTGAGACTGTCTCTGTCGTGTTTTCCAAAGCTTGCAAGTAAATTGGGAACATCTCACAGATTTCAGTGGAACCTAGACACTCTCAAAGGTCATTCCCTATCCTGCCAGTTATTTGTGTTTTAAAGAACTTTATTCTGACAGAATCCAAGTATGCAGAGCTCTGCAGGATGTGGCCCTTTGGGTCTTTCAGGAAGTGTCTACTAGAGCAGGTGAAAAGTTAAAACCGCAATTTCCCAACAAGAAATATAAACAAAAGGCTGTGAGCAGTTGAAACTGATACAGTTACTATAGAAATAGAGTGATAGCATCAGCTCAGTGAGACGGAAACTGCAGTTTCGGGGAAATGGCAGTTTGGTAGAGATTACACAGATAATTATGTGGAAGCTATGCAGCATGGACAAGTGACTACTGCTGGTTTTAATCCCATTGTACTGGTATTCTAAATATCAAAAGCACTTAAGAGTCTGGTGTTCTTTTGTTATCACAAAAAGTATTCAGAGTCAAGCTAAAGTTGGGGGAAGGTTTTGAGCAAATACCGTGAAAGATCAGTAAAACCTTGCAAATTGTATTTTGAAGTTTCAATCAAATTAGATAGTTAAATTCTTAGAAGTTGCTTCAAAAACAATGGTAAGGCTCTGCTCACTCACAGTTCCAGGTCCAGCCATCTCAGACAACCATGCACTCATCATTTTCTAAATGAATGATATGATTTTTTGCTAATTATTCTTTACACCTTTGTGTGGATGGAAATTTGCATTATAATTTAACAAACAGCAATGATTTTGTATTAAGCAGAAGAGACTGCAGTTCATTTATCCATAACGTAAAGTTTGTCCTTAAAGTGCAAGGATGAAATCAGAGCTATATTTATGCCACTAAGAGACCAGATGTGATGCCATCCCTGATAGTAAATCTGGAGAGAAGGTGATATGCACTGCTTTTACAGTGTCACATGGAGCTTATGAATTCAGATCCCCCTTGTATTGTGTTGTGTTCAAGCATGAAACTGTACCAAAATTCAGAATATAACTTCTTTTTCCTGCTGCTCTGACATGGAACGGATGGTTTTAGCTGTTGCCTGATTGTCTTGGTTTGAGAAATGAGAATTCTGGTGTATTCTTGTATTTCAGGAAATTTCACGACACGTGCGAGAGCTGCTGGGGATTGAGGAGCCTCTCTTCAGCAGATCCATTGCCCTCCCATACAGAGACAATATGGGTCTCTTCCTAGAGAGAAAGGCACCAACAGGAGAGAAAGCAGATGCCCTCACTTTCTCACAGTTTATCCAAAAAGCAGGACTGGAGCCCTACACTACAGCTCCTTCTTTGCACGGATCCCAGACCGTGGTGGGAGTGGATGCTCTCCCTGCATCACAGGACATGCAGAGGCAGAATTAGAGACTCATACTGCATTTTTGCCTTTATAAGAAGCCCAGCAGCCACAGCAGACTGTACCCTTATTACCTTGCAGATTGTTCAAGGAGGTATAGTTCCACCTTTTCACAATTACAAAAAATTGTGCACTGCACTGCCACTGCAACTCTCAGACATCTTATTACACCAAACCCATTCCCATATTGTCTCTTTTCTGCAATATTTCATTTGCTTGCAGGAATTAAGTGAAGTGGAGGTTGTAGATCAGACTGTACCATTGCCTGTTTTCCACTTCTGCTTCACAGATGATTAAAAGAGACCAAAACCACAATCAAAGACATATTTTAGGCGCAAGTGATGGATAAGAACCTCCCAGATGCTCAAGTGAATAGATTTCTCCCAGGCTTCAGTGTCTGCAGACTGGGCTTGCTCTGAAACCCAGATAAATGGCATATACAATAGCTGGTGTACAGGTGTGGTGACAACTGCTATCAACAGTCATAATTAAGCAAGGGGTCTAGGTGCAACATGCATAACTAATCCTTGGCCACAGAAATGATTTCCTGTGAGGCAAACCAGGCAGGCAGTGTTCTATCATGGTAAACAGTACTGAAACACATGATAGATGGTGGCAGAAAGTACAAAAGAATACTGAACTAGAGAATTTAGGGAATAAAAATGGCTTTTTCCTGGGTGGATTTGGACAGAGTATCCAGTTACCTGCATTTCCTTGAAGGACATATCATATAGTCTGTGATGGTGAGGGTGGGGTGCATTATCACCAACAAGGAAGTAGAACGGCTGATGAAAGCCTGGCTCAACAGAAAGAGCAGTCCTGACTAAATCATTAGTATGTTGTCAGGATTCAATGGCTTTCTCAAGATCCCTCATGGGGAATAAAAATATTTTTAAAAAAAGACTGGGCCTGATCCTGTTTAGTTTGTTACACCAAAGCTGCAGCCACTACAAAATAACTGTAATTTGGTTTTTTAATTCAGTTTTGTATTGAAGCTGAAATAGAAACACAGTGAAACTGAAGCAGTGCATAGGCCAAGAAGACTATGTAATAAGCAAATTCAGACCAAAAAAATGCTCAGGCAACCAGGGATAAGCAAGTTACTGAGCAGTGTATAGACTGAAACTCATAAAAGAAAATGTGTGCATAAGGTTATTGGCTGGAATAGTTTAAAGTCTGAGAGTTAACAGTGCTGGTTCTTGCACTGTTTAGTCCCACGGAAAGGTTGGGATGAAATCTCAGCAAAGCATTCCTCATGGGCTTCATTATGGTTTGTGAAGATTTAGAATCATACCCAGCATTTTCATCTGGAATTTCTGAGAAACTGTTGGAAGCAGCTGTGGATAATGGAGACTTGTCATCCAGCATCACACTAGGCTCCACTGCAGCTGAAGTGAGAGATGTCTTGGTGCTGACCAGCCCACATGGCTTTGTAGGACAGTCTCCAGAGGGTGCCTGTACAGTAGAGTACCAGGCATCAGATGGCACCAGACAAGCTCTCTCTTTTCCAGCAGCTGGCTGAAGAGAGACTTTCTCAGTGACACAGCTGTCAGGTCAAACCAGGGGAAGGTTCTGGGAAGGGAAAACAAGTGGAAACATTTACTGGCAACAACTGTCCAAAGCAGCTTGCTAGTAGTGTTAACAAATAGTGGTTTTCTTCAGTGTCTGACTACCAGACTCCTTCTTGGGTCTTTAAGAAACCATCAAACTCAGAGACTTGGATATAAAATGTTGCAGGCATCACTTGGTCAAGTGAAGTAAAACTGAGACTAATGGCTCTAGACTAGTCCTGAAAAAGCAGGAATGCTTTCCCTCAAGCAGCCTACCCATCTTAACATCCTCAATAGCCCAGTTCATGAACTGTCATAAGATCATTACCCCCAATATCTCTAGATATTCCCATAGGATTTTTTTTTTTTTTTTGCATCCAATGCCCTAGTCTTGATCTGTTGCTTCAGACAACCCTGATAAGTAGGATCTAGGGACAAAATAACTCAGTCCAGGTCTGCTATACATTTCTGTTGCTAATACATTGTCTAAGGCAGTTCCTGGGGCAGAGATATGGTCCTAAGGACAGCACAGAGTTCAGCACCTTCCAACCCAACAAGGCAGCCCATGCTTTATGTGAGATGAGGCAAGTTGCAAAGCAGAGACAAGAAGTACCTCAGCATTCAACTGTCTTTCTCCTCTTGAGTAACTGAAGAGGCAAATCTGCTGACAAAACTCTCGCACACAAAGCTGGGCAGGAAGGTTTTTGCTCTGCACAGATGGGGCAGCATTC